TATACCTACGCGATGGTATAAGGTATTTACGGTCTTGCGTAGTTCTTGTTGAACTTTTGCAGTAATTAAGAATACACTGTCGAACCATGATTATTCATCACAAACAATAAGTCTGTAAACAAACGATAAGTTATAGGTTAGGTTTGTACATTTATACTTGTAACAATTAAATGAGTAAATTAAACGTACACTTATAGAAAACTACTGAAAAAAAAAACAAAATAATTAAACATAAATATCACAATAAAAACTATAAGTATTCCAAACTTAAACTAACCACAGCCGTTAATACATACTAAAGATAAACATGGCTGCGCGTTGGATCGGAAGCGGTCCCCCAAAATTTTCAGCCAATGGCACATGAGCTAAATATGAATGGCGCATCCCTCCTACAGGATCCCTAACAAAAATAAGTCAATCACGGCATCTGTAGTTGACCATTCGTGAAACTGGAGAAACCTGTAATGTCGAATCTAATTCAGGTACAGAGTAAATATTTCACCTCTTTTGCTCGTTATGATTGGTTCATTAATATGAAAAAGTATATTTTCCCATTTGTAATGTAATACGTCTGGAGTTCCTATCCATTTCCACAATCCCCCATGCTTTTGCATAGAAGATACTATAGTTGCTTTAAGTGTCAGTAACAAATAGAATTTTCCCAGGAAAATATTCACCTTAATATAAAAATATTACATGTTCATTAACATCTTTTCAAAACCTTACAGGTAGAAAAAAATAATAATCGTACGCGTGTCTCACGCGTGTTCCTGATATCATGTTGTTTACGGTACGATGCATTTGACACCACTGATCGTATCGAAAAAACAACGACTATGTTCTCAATAATAATAATAATAATAATAATAATAATAATAATAATAATAATAATAATAATAATAATAATAATAATAATAATAATAATAATGTGGCAACAAAGGCACACTTTTTCATGATTATATCAACGATATCTTTCGAAACTAGCGGCTTATTAATTATGCATGCATACACAAGGCTAATGCGAATGCATGAACCCATTGCTCGTACGAGTTTGCTTGCTGACCGGCCAAGGCCTAATCCCAATTTGCATCCCCCGAAACTACGACTCGATCCAGAAACCTGACTAGCCCTTACGTGCTCCCTTGATTTTCGGTATTCAGGTGGCATATGTCGCCCTCCCCCCGTTTGCCCAAAACTTATACGGTTTGAGATACGTACGACCGAACACGAATCGTGATCCGGCATAACTGCAGTGATCTTCTACGCTAGTGTGCTGTGTGTTGGTTCTCAACGGTTGGTTGTTTATTTTTTATTTTTATTATTCGAAACATTTTTCTTATGTTTTATATTATTTTATTTAGATATTTTGTTATTTGTTAAATTTCTGAAATGTTGAATTAGGTAAATTATAATTGTAATGTAAAGAATGATATTAATGTTATAATTTATATTCTATATAATAATATTTATATTTTTTCTTTTTATTAATATTAATATTTATAATTTATATGATTTATTATTTATAATATAATTTTAATTTATATTATATAATTTTTATATTTTTTTATTTATATTAATATTTATAATTTATATTATTTATAATAATATTTCATTAAAATATTTTTAAATAATAATATACATTCAAAGTATTTATATACATATTAAATAAATGAGAGGTTATGTTTTGAAAGAATTTTTCAAAATATCTACACCAACTTTTAATTGTACACTTCATTTTACTTTTTGTTAAATTTAAACATTTTAAAGTTTATAAATAATGTTTACAATCTTTCTTTTGTTTATAAATAAACCTGTATTATTTTACTTTACAATTTTTAAGACAACTAACCTAAAACATTTTTCCATTTAGTCATCTTCAAAAATAGTACGATTACATTAAAAAATATATCAACTTATCTTGCAACAAATTAACCAAAAATCGTATTTATTATTAAATAAAAAGAATAAATGAAATAAAAAATAGAAAATGAATGACAGAGAACCACTGATGTAACAAAAGCGTATGTGCTGGCACTCCGCTCCAAAAGACTGTGAGGGTTACGTAGCACCCCTTGTGCACGAGTATACTCGAAGGTAGTGTAGGGCCCAAAGAAGGGTACAGCGGTGAGAAGGACGGGACACAACGCACGCGCTCTCACATATCAAGAGTAGGTATAACCCCGAAGAAGGTTGGGGAAAGGGGAGAATAATATAAAAAAATAGAAAGAAAGAGAGAGAGATAAGGAATAAATAAATCCATGTATAAGAGAATAAGAAAGAAAGAGAGAGAGAGAAAGATAGAACTATGGTGCGACTATAGGGTCGAAGGCACAAAAGAATAGCGTCGCATGCCACGAGGCACGATCCACCCCTAACATTCTCTTTCTCTTTTTCTTTTTTTTCGTGCTTTCCTCTCTTTCCGATGCTTGTGAAAGGTTGCCTTATATCCCTCTTTTAACAAAAGAGAGAGAGAGAGAGAGAGAGAGAGAGAAAGAAAACAATCTTTGGAAAAAAGAAATGAGAAAGAAAGAAATAATTTTTTAAAATAATAATTTTAAATTAAAAAAATTGTTTAAATAATATAAAATATACTTATACCTATAATTTTGGTTTTATAAAAAATAATATTTTTAAATAATATATATATATATATATATATAAACAATATTTTTACGCATATTAATAAATTGTGAAACCCTGAAAAATGTACGTTACGGAGTTCGTCGTTGTCTCTTTTTAATTTTTTTTATTTTAGGGGTGTTTTTTTATTTTATTTTTTTTTTTTTTTTTACTTTCTGTCAAAATCTAGATACGGTTTTTTTTAGATCGGTGAGATAAATTTTCGATCATCGTCGTTGTCGACGTAAAGGGAGGGATATGAAACGAGAATGGGAGTACGTTAGCGACGATTAAAAAGAGAAAAAGGACAAAAAAAAAAGGGGTACATAAATTATTCTCAATGCACGGCAAATTATGCCAAGTTCACTTACTTGTATTCTCTTTCTTTCTATCTGTCTGTCCATCTATCTATCTCGTTTTTTTTCTTTGACATTTGTAGAGGGATGAAAAAGGGATAAATGGGGTGGGGTAGGGACGGTTGAGAATCTCGCGGTCTTGTTTTGCGAGACACGATCGTTGCATTTTTCTTCTTTTTTTATTTATCTATCTCTCTTTTTCTCATACTCCCATTTTTAAAAAGCTTGTTCCTATGCAAATCTAGACAATTTTTCCCATCGACAGAAATTATATTATAAAATAAACTAACTGTACACTGGCACGCGTTAATGTAGCTGCCAAAATGTTGCGTTGCCGTATAAGATGTTTCCACTCATCGAAATCTACAACCAACAGATGGCACTGGGCTTATCCCTATCTTTTTCTTATTTTTTTTTAATTAATTAATTATTTTATAAACAAATTAATGTAATAGAAACCAAGCTGTATGCAACTGCAACATTGTCTCAAAATTTCAAGACAATCCAGTAAAATACTTCTAGAGATTATGGAGACTAGACAAGGAGCACGAACTCTACGTATACAAATGGGATATAGAAATAAGAGGGCGCCCGTGTTCTATTTGTACCAAAATGGAAGAGGAATAAGGCGGCAGCTTAAAAAAAAATTATAATTCGAAACAAAGGGTAATCATTTAGGTTGTTCAAGTATAAACAATTGAAATTAAATAAATAATTATTGAATAATCGTAAAAAAATGAGTAAATAGTAATAATAATAAATTTAGATTAAGTCCTAATCATTTAGAAAAAAAATAGTATTAAATGTAAATTTTATTGATAATAAAATTCAGTCAGACAAAAGTAATGGTTATTGTATTTTTTCAATAATTATTTACAATACAAAGTTAAAAATATAAGTAAAATACTAGTACTAATAGTTATTATATGGAAAACTGAGTTGTAGCGTATAAAAAAGTCGTCATTTCTTGATGAGATAGATTATAAGAAGATTTTTTAAGTTATTAATAACAAGTATTAGGGTTAATAACTATTTGCTTGCTCACTTCACGCATCAGTATGTTACTATATTCAAAACAGTACAAAGGGCATATTAGCGACCCTAGTGGTGAAACAAGAAAACTTAAATATACGATTTGCGTGGACAGATTTGTGCAATTAATACGTTTGAGTTCGTGCTCCTTGCGTTGTCTCCATGCTAGAGATTACCGATTATATATACATATAGATAAAGGTTAGGTTATGTTCAAATGTTTCCTGCCACTCACTGCAATCTACGGCCAGTAGATGGCACTGAACTTATTCAAGAAACTTTTGTTTACTCAAAAAAACAAAAAGAAAGAACACCTCATTTACTTAACAATAAATCTAACTAATTCAAATAATTCTAAAAATATAACTATTTTCAACAATATTTCATTTAAAAATAGTTAATTCGTATAAAAATTATTAATCGATCGAATAGGAGAAAGCGTTGAAAATCTACAATGATTTTTATTTCAAGGTCTCGTATATTCCGGACTCCACAAGTGGTTGTTGGAAATCTGGGAGAGAGAGAGAACCACTGCACACCTGGTCGATGAGTGTACGAACACTAAGATAGAAAGAGAAAAATAAAGTGAAAAAGAAAGAGAGAGAGAGAGAGAGAATTGGATGTTGGATGAGTCTCCGGATATTTTGGGGTTGGCAACAGACAAGAGCACTCTTCGTAGAGGGTGCCCCGGGCTTTTTTTTCAATCGTGCAACCGAGCGAAGGGAGATATATGAACAGTGGTGGTGGTGGTGGTGGTGGTGGTGGATGCAACTAGAAAGAAAGAGATAGAAAAAGGGAAGTGGATATACATCAAAGTAAGTAAGTAAGTATAAGTGAGTGAGTGAGTGAGTGAGAGGAGGGAGGAAAAGGGCAAGAAAAAGAGACAGAGGGGAGGGAGGGTACATGAACGAGAAGGGAAGCAAGAGGAAGCAGAAACCATCTGCCCGCATATGTTATGGGCCCACACTAACGTAGAACTTCATATATATGTGTACCTTTTTCGTAGAGAAAAGAAAGAATCGCTCATCCAAAACAACCAGGAACCTAACAGGAACAGTGTGTGAGTGGTTCCGCCCGTGCCAGGGTGTTCCTCTTTGGGCCTAAGGAAGTAGTGACACAACTCTGAGAATATCAGGAAACGACTGCTTTCGTAATTAAGAAAACCAACCCCTCCCCATCCCCATTCCTCACCGCATTTCACCTCAGTCTTCGGGGGGTGG